TTGACCTTGACCTCACTTTTCTTAAATTAGTGTTTAGCTCAGTTTTAATGAAACCATACAAGATATTTTTAACAAACTTCATATGCTGAAAAATACTGATGAGAGCTATTCAACTGCATCAATATTTTTTACCTTGACCTTTCCTCTGACCTTGACCTCACTTTTCTTAAATAAGTTTTTAGCTCAGTTTTAAAGATACCATTCAAGATAGTGTTATCAAACTTCATATGCTGATATATACTGATGAGAGCTATTCAACTGCATCAATATTTTTTCACCTTGACATTTCCTTTGACCTTGACCTCACTTTTCTTAAATTAGTGTTTAGCTCAGTTTTAAAGAAACTATTCATAATATTTTTATCAAACTTCATATGCTAATACATATTGATGTAACCTTTTCAACTGCATAAACAATTTTTGACCTTGACCTTTGACACTTGACCTCACTTTTCTAAAATTTGTTTCAAACTTCATATGCTGATACATACTGATGTAAGCTATTCAACTGCATCAATATTTTTTCACCTTGACCTTTCTTTTGACCTCACTTTTCTCAATTTGTGTTAAAATGTTGCATTACTAATATACCCTCGGCGGGGCATTCATGTCCTATGGACATATTTCTAGTTGTATATACAATGTTTATGTAACTTCATATTTAACACGTGCTCTGAAGAGCAGAGGAAATTCTGGTCGAGAAAATCGATCTACTTCCCCACTTTAAAAGTAAATTTTCCGTGATTTTTGTCAGTTGATTGAATTTACGAATTTAAAAAAGAAACTTTAGAATAGTAAAATACTTTTAGGGGATGCCTTTAAATTCTTCAACAATACATTTACTTCAATGAAATGATTGCGGTACGATGTTTGACACACAGTGCCAACATAATTCGAGACATGGTTCTGAAGTATAAAGACATATATTTATAATAAATTTTTAATTTTTAAATAAGATTTTAAAATGCAACTAGCAATTATATGGTTACACGGAAGTGTGCTAACAAATTATTTGTCCTTGTTCCTTCATGTGTAAAGTCCAGCGAGGGTCTAGGAGATTATTAAATTATAGATTATGCAAGGTGAAGCAAGACAAGTGCCATAATTAAGAGATGATTAAGTGCTCTGCCTTAAAAATTGAAAGACTGTCTCACAGTAGATTTGTTTGATTAAAGTTTCAGTTAGAGAGAATTTATGTTCTGATTTTCTGATTATCACAGATCTTACTGTGTCGCAAAATTTTTACTGTGTCGCACTCATAAAATTTGAATCGTTACTGTGTCAGGGAAATTTTTACTGTGTCAGGGCCGACACAGTAAAACAGCTCATGGAGAACCCTGCACCACAATTACATAAATTTGTGTGCGGACTCAGGTGAGCTTTTCTGATCACACTTTGTCCATCGTCCATCTGTCTGTCTGTTAACTTTCAACATTTTCGACTTCTCAAGAACCACTAGGCCAATTTCAACGAAACTTGCACAAAGTATCCTTGGGTAAAGGGGATTCAAATTTTTTTTCAAATGAAGGGCCACACCTTCTTCCAAGGGGAGATAATTAAAAATTAGTGAAAAATTAATGGCATCTTTTAAATATCTTCTTCTTAAGAACCACGGGGCCAGGAAAGATGAAATCTATATGGAAACATCCTAAAGTAGTGTAGATTCAGAATCATGGGGGTAGGACAGAGTTGCAATGGACAATCAAAGTTTTACATAGGAATACATAGGAAAGAACCACTGGGCCAGGAAAGATCAAACTTATGTGGACACATCCTCAAATAGTGTAGATTCAAGTTTGTTCAAATCATGACCCCTGGGGGTAGGTTGGGGCCACAATGGAGGATAAAAGATTTACGTAGTAATACATAGAAAAAATCTTTAAAAATTTTCTTCTCAAGAACAGCAAAGCCATGATTGATCTTATTCATATGGAAGCATCCTCAGGTAGTGTAGATTCAAGTTTGTTCAAATCATGACCCCGAGGGTAGGGTGGGGCCACAATGGGAGATCAAAGTTTTACATAGGAATATATAGGAAAAAATCTTCAAAAATCTTATTCTCAAGAACAACAAAGCCATGATTAATTGAAATGCTAGAATCCTCAAGTAGTGTAGATTCAAGTTTGTTCAAATCATGACCCACCAGGGATTGATGGGGCCACAATGGGGGATCAAAGTTGTACATTGGAATAAATAGGAAAAATATCTGTAAAAATCTTCTTATGAAAAGCAAAGCCATGATTGGTCATATTAATATGAATCAAGATTGATCAAATCATAATCCCTGAGAGGTAGGGTGGGCCACCATGGGGGATCAAAGTTTTACATAGGAATATATAGTAAAAATCAGTAAAAAAAATCTTCTTCTCATGAACAGCAAGGCCATGTTTAGTCATATTGATATGGAAGCATATTAAGGTAGCGTAGATTCAAGTTTGTTCAAATCATGATCCCCAGGGGTAAGAGTGGAGCCACAATGTACTATTAGTCTAAGTTTAACATGTGGATGTATAGGAAAAAATTCTCCAATATCTTTTTTGTCAAGAACAGCAAGTCCATGTTTAGTCACATTGATATAGAAGTATCTTGATTTAGTGTAGATTCAAGTTCGTTTAAATAGTGACCCTGAGAGGTAGTGTGGGGCTACATCTATAAAATCATGACACCTGGGGGAAGGGTGGGGTCACAATAGGGATAAAAGTTTTCTATAGGAATTTATCATAGAAAAATCTGCTGATGAAGAACAGTAGGGCCATACTGACTAATAGGTGAGCATTGTGGCCCATGGGCCTCTTGTTACTGTTACTTTTAAAAATGGATATGCAAAATGTTATATTTCCTCTCAAAATTATTTTGTCATGCTGCCCCTTTTGTCCTCTTTGAAATGAAGAAACTATTGTTATAGACTATTAAAAAAGGAAATATGTGTGAATTATAAAATTCTGTATTTTTCAGACAACTTTTTGATAAAGTCTTAATGTGAGATTGTCGTCAGAGTCATTCAGGATTTTCTTGTTTGTCCCTTGGGATTGACAAATGTAGCTTTTGGAGTTCAATAACCAGTCAATTTAAGGTCAATATTTATCACTCATTAGAAGATATAATAACTGACAGTGATACATCCTTGGAAATCAATGGGTGTATGACATCACAGGTGCATGTATATTATTTTACAGTTGAGCCGGTAAATCTTATCTGCTTATTATAAGAAACCAATTTATAATAGTTAAATATGTAAATATGATATATAAATATTTTTTTGGTCGAATGATTTTAAGCTGTTTAATGAAATTAAGATTTTTTTTTTTTCAAATTCACAATTTATATATAACCTCATCCTCCTTCAACACATACGTAGAAACACACACTTGCACTGTCACCACACTTTTATTTGCATCAACAAAAGGCACTTATGATACTCTAAACTGCTCTTGAAAACCTTGGATTAAAAACTTTAATTAACTGTTCAAGGTCAATGACCTGAGGGCATGTCTTAACCTTGTTCAAGACAAGTTCAAGGTCTCTTAAATATAGAAAATGCACATTTCCTGTTTTGACTATCTTTCAATGTAAACATTGGAAGTTCACATTTGGCTCAAATACTGCAAGGACTGCTTATAACTGGAGGGTTGTTTTGACCTTGACACAAGACCATTTTGGCAAGTTTAAGATCACTGGCAGTTAAAAAAGTGTTTGATATTGTCTGGTCCATAATTTTAAAATGCAACTTATAAAGCAATTCAATAATGCACAATTTAGTACCAGAAAGCACATAGCCATCCAACAAGGCATGCAAGTTTGTTTTTGTCAAATATAAGCAGGTTCTTGAAAATCAAGTGCAGAGCCTGGTTCCCTCAAATACGGCACACAAAAATTTACCACACTAAAATTTTATTCAATGTGGTAAAATCAGAATGTTTAGATTAGATAGATCTTCATCTCATAAAAAAAATTTAGTTCCAGTCTCACACAGAAATGCCTGAAATGGGAGGGGAGTATCAGGAATCAATTTTATGCCCCAACATTATCGGGGGTCATGATAATGCCAATGGACAGATTTATACCTGAAAACATTGGCGGATGGTGATAGGTGGGGGATGGCGGTAAAATGAAGTTTTATAAAGCGAGGAAATAGGGACTTGGAATTTTTTTTGGGCGGTGAAGCAGGGATGGCATTATAATGGGCGGAATTATAATGGGGGAGCACTGCATTTTTATCAAATCTTATATGCTTAAACATATTGATCAGAACTGTTCAACTACAATAACATTTTTTTACCCTGGCCTTTCCTTTGACCTTGACCTCACTTAAAATGGTATTAAGCACAGTTTCAAAGAAACTATTCAAGATATTTTAATCAAACGTAATATGCTGATACATATCAGTGAGAGCTATTCAACTGCATCAAAACTTTTGAACTTGACCTTTTTTTTTTTTACCTTGACTTCAAATTTGTGTTAAGCATAGTTTTACAGAAACAAATCAAGATATTTTTATCAAACTTCATATGCTGACACATATTGAGGAGAGCTTTTCAATTTCTTCAACATTTATGATCTCAATCTTTCCTCTCACTTTTCTCAAATTTGTTTTTTGTTTTTTGTTTTTTTTTTGGTCAAAGAAACTATTCCAGATATTTTTATGTAAACTTATGCACTGATACATTATTTGGTAAGAATTCATCAACTTTGTCCGATTTTTTTTTCTTGACCTTCCCAATGACCTTTGACTTTACTATTTATTGTGTATTAAACTCAGTTTTAAAGAAAGTATTCAAGGTATTTTCATCAAACCTCATACAGTATACAAATTTTTGTGTTGCATATAAGACTATTGAGCCCTCGGTGGGGCATTCATGTCCTATAGACATATTTTTAGTTGTGACATATGAACCCCATATGAAACACTGTAATATTACCTGCATATCATCTATTGACATGTAATAATTGAATATTGGTAATTATTTTAATTAAGTTATTTCAATTGTTTTTAAAACATAGGGTCAAGACTTGTCAGAGTTAAAGAGACATAGTTATGCCAATACAGTTGACTACAGAACACTGAAAAAATTTGTCCATCATGTCTTCATACCTTGCCACTGCAAAAAAGTTCACGAGATGCAGCAGGAAAGCCCTGAGGTAAGACTCCTAATCAAATGAGAGTAATTGGAAGAATTGATAACCTTAGCTTAGTTTAGGTACAAGCTTAAGTGAATACTGTGATTGAAGAAATAGAAATAACTGTGGTTAGTGAACTTGTTATTAAGTCCACGCAAAGTATCCTGGTTTGGCAGAGTTTAATGAACTCGTATTTTACCTGTGTAAGTCTAAAATTTAGATGATTCATTTACTGTATTGAAAGAAATTGAAATAGAGTTACCTGCCCTTAAACTTGTACTTTAATTATAAGATAACTTATATACATAATCCAATTAGAAGCAGGTTATGTGGTTTGCTTAATTGTCATTACAAGGACGGAATGCTTGCAGGTGAATACATGTACTTCACTTCATATTCCTTAGCAAAAGCATTCCTAATCTCATTTTTGAACTTCAAGATTTGTTAAAATTTTGGTTCCAATTATTTGAGTAATGTATTGAATAATGAATTATGATAGTTTTGAAAACAAAATCAGCAGTTACATTTTCAGAGCCTTTGAAATAACTTTTACTGAATGCCTATTTTTAACTTTTACTGAATGCCTATTTTGGAATGACAATGGAATTTAATTTCTGAAGTTGGGCATCCAGTGGCAATTATAAACACAGATTCTTTAACCCGTCAGAGGCTATCTATATCCTGAAGAATCAACCACAATCAAATGTTAAAGGTTACCCTGCTCAGTCGAGTTATAATGTGGTTACTTTACTTTTATATACTTATATCATACTTTTATCATACTGGCATAGAACTTTGGTTAAAATAACTATAATTTTGGTATATAATTTAAGCTACCAAATGATACCCAGTGAAATAGCATGGGAATTTTGGCACTTAAAAGTGACAATTCTGTTGTTTTTTTGTTTTTTTTTTGCCATATTCTTCTTGACTTGTTTTAGTATGAATTAGCTTTAATATGAAAAAACCCCAACTTAATTGCCGTAGAATGAGATTGCAGAACACTTTTAAGTGCATCAGAATGCTATACAATCACTCTTGAAGGTAATCATTACCATCAATCTGAAAACCCAAGATCATTCAGATTCTGGCCACCCCTGTGTGATGTCATAAATTCAGTTTTTCATCATTTATTGTCCCAAGAGTTATAGCTAGTATCATAGAAGAGCTATATTGGGGTTCAGAATTTTAATTTACATTAAAAGTAAATGGACTTCATCAACACAACAGGGTTTTGATTTGTTAAATGGATATGCACTATCAATATATCGTAAAATCTTAGGACTTGGCTTAGTTTTGGCTATACTAGAGGTGTAACGTACAATTTCATGTTCACTTGTCTTAAATATTTTGTATTAATGCAGAAGGCCATTAAGATAAAAGAAAGGCAAGGCAAAGACAGAGTTTGCCATGGACATGAGAGAGCTGTTATCATAGATACACTGGTAACAAATATGGATGTAAAAGAAGAAGGTATGCTAATTTTTTGTTTTGCCTCAGGCTAAAATGAAACTCTGTCATTGGATAAATGGACAGTCACTTACAGTCACCTTGTTAGATAGTTATAATGAACCAACTAAGTAATAAATATATATTCCCTTCCTGTTTCTGAAATTGTAATATCTATGCTTAGAAAAATGGGGGCATATACTGCAATATATTACTCCTATCCATTTGTCAACTTGTTTCTGGATTTTTAGCTCATCTGGTCACAGGCCAGAAGAGCCTGTGTGATGGAAGGCTGTGCCTCATCCATCTGTCTGTCTGTTAAGCTGTTTTGTCTGTTTAGCTTTGCATTTTTAAATCTGCTTTTGATTTCAAAGAGGAATGTTGCCATGGTTACTAAAAGCAGAACTTTCTGTGAATTTTTTTTGGAAACCTTTTCTACAGTTTTGGTCTGATTTTAATCAAATTGGTTACACAAGAATACTCTTAGATGAATGGTTCTATGCATCGGTTTTTAATTTTGGCCAACAGTGTTGCCATGGTTACTAAAAAAAAGAAATTTCTTTGAAATAATTTCAAGAGGCTTATTTTCCAACATTTTTTGGTGCAGTCTGATTAAAAATAGCCACATAAAGAGACTACATCAAGGATTATAATTCTATTCTTTGGTGTTATCATAGTTTTAAGTCCAATTAGCATGATTAGTGGTACATATCTTTGTTAGTAATAAGCTCAAACCAGAGGGCTATAATCTCATCAGAGACTTCTGGTTCAATTTTAGTCAATCCCTCTTTTGATTCACATATGCATGGCCATCTACTTTTGTACTGCACACAACAGGTATACTGTGTGAGTGATAAGTTGACTAGGTGGAGCAGCATTTGAATTACTGTTTTGACAATTTTCACTTTTTGCAATGATAACTTAAGTTTAAAAAAAAAAATTAGTACCTAATCATGTGAACCTGGGCATAGAGATTTTTTTGTAAAGAATACAAAGTGTATTTAATACAGAAGGTTAATTAATAAAGAGAAATAAACCCTGTTTTACACAGCATAAATTTTGCTACTACTCAGTCAAAAGATTTCATGTGACCAGACCTTTCTTTGAGTGCCAGCATTATTGACCTTATGACCTTTGACTTTGACCTTCTTTTGAAAATTTTAATCTTGGCCTTAACTTTTGAACCAGTGAGTGCTAGGGCTTTTAATATATTACATGTTTTCTTTGTGCTGGATTTCAGATTGCCAACAGCCATTTGCCAATAAAGATTCAAAATTGCAGAAGGAAATAAAATTTAAGAGCTGAAATGCCTGGAAGTTTAAAACTGAGCAGACATAATGGCCGATTAAATTCTTTGTGCAAGACTTGCTATATTGTTTTTCCATTCACGTCTGATTAATTTACTTTTACTACTCTCTGTAACTGCAGATTTCATCAGTGACAGTCAGGTATTAGATCTAGATCCCCAGATTGCTTCATATAATTTCTTGTTGCTGATACACTTCCCTACCAATATTAACATGGAGTAGTGGACAAGCACATGTCCTAATAAAAATTCTAGTGGAATATAATATTTATTGAGCAGTAAAATCTTCAATTTAGAACTATATATAGAACTCATAAGAATGATGCCAATGAAACTGAAGAACCAAAAAAAAAGGGGGGGAAGAAAATCACATTGAAAGACATGCGATGGTTTGGGAATACATGGCCCGGCATAAGCCTGTGGCTTTGGTTTGACACAAGGTTGCAAACCACAGGCAAAATGTATGATCTTCTCCCATTCTGGCCTCGGATAGTAGAGAACTGTAAGTGGAGTGGCAGGCAAGTTCTGTGACTTGAGACAATGGGCATGGTAGCATGGCATCACTTCATGAGAATCCAGGAGAAACATGACTTAAAATGTAAAAAAAAATCTTTCCAAAATGAAATAAATACAATTGAGTTACATTTGTTCAATATTTTATTCATAATTATTACCTTTATTTGCATTCACCTGAATTCATGTTATGAGGTGAAAGACCTGAATATTTTCAATTACTATTTGGCCTAAAATTTTAGGAGAGAATGGCCTATTACATTTCTTGTAAATATCCCAGGTGTCAAAGTTATGTATTTCAATCTAAAGACCTGCTTGTGACAAGACTTCTTTGGATACCAACATTTCTGACCTCATGACCTTGACCTTTAAGTTTCACCTACATTTGGAAAAAACTTTTAACTTTGCCTATAACTTTGAACGATTGGTGCTAGAATTTCATATTGCACTTAATATGTATTCTTTGTGACAAGAGCTTTTCTTTGGGTGCCAATTTTTTTGAATTCTTGATCTAAACCTTGGAGTTTTACCCTCATTTGAAAAACTTCAACCTTGGCCTTGAGCTGCCATAAGGGAGCATCATTGTTTCACAAAAACTTATTGTTCAACTAAGTTTATGATATGACTATGATGAGGCAGATTAGTCTTCACATTAAGACTATACATGTGTGGTGTGGATAAAATTAACTTGTAATGAAATCTTGAGGAAATTTGAAATTTGAAAAAAGGAGTCAAGGTTTAATATACTCAAACATTTCTCACTGAAACTGAACTAGATATAGATACATTGCTTTGCTTATTAATCTAAAATCATATTACCGCTTATTGTCCAAATTTTCCAACATCATTAGCAATGTATAATTTTAAATTGCACAATTGAAGGTAATTTTTTGTTGTTTTGTTTTTTGTTGTTGTTTTGTTTTGTTTTTTGTTTTTGGAAGGACAGGGGCTCTTAATATTGAGAACAGATATAGAACCTTTTTTTATTCATTTTTAGGCATATTAACTTTGCTCTGTTACCTTGAGCTTCATCCTTTGAGATGGGTGGAGAATTTGGTCAATGTGTATGCCACTTGTAAAGTCCAGTGTTATGGGGGACCAGCTCAACTTCAAGCTATATCGAAAAAGGTCAGCATTTCCCTCCAATTTTTAATGCCTTTTTTGTAATCCATTAACACTTCATTGCATGGCCATAAATGTCTTTGTTAAGCAACGTCATCTACACTCTGTTCTTCTGAGGTGTCAGTGAGATTTAGGTCATTGCTATAAAAATAAGACTAACCTATTCTACAGAATCACCCAATCCACACTTCTGAAATTTGCAATGCATGATTTTTTCCTTGAAAATATACATTTCAAATTATTTTGTATTTTGATATTCATATTTGTTATTTATAGTGTCCTCCTGTAGCTGTTGCCATAGCAAAGGCAAAGAAAGGTGGGAAATCATTTTCATCCACCAATCAAATTGAGTTTCCTGTTGTTGACATTAGTGACTGCATGGGTTGGGACTCTGGTCTTGTCAAAAGAGAATTGAAAAGTCTCTCCTGGAACATAACTAGCCAAGGTATATATAGGTTTCCATAGTTTACATCAGATTCATGTTTTGAGCTAATAGTGCATTATAAGTTCGTTATAATTTCTTGCCAGCTTTTGGTTACATGGAATTATTTTAGAAGGGTAGCCACTGAAAGGCTACAGTGTGGTCATTCGGAAGATTATTAGAAGTGTTAAATATAATATAAGGGGCTGCCAGTTTTGTTACTTGCTAAGTGAGTTTTAAAAACCTCTGTGTTTCAGCGGAGCTAGCATTGCTTTTGTACAGTTGACACTATTCTATTTACTGTAAACATTCTTTTTTTCCATGGGAGTCATAATTCCATGGAATAACATTTCTCTTCAATCCATGGGTAGAAAATTATGCAGATTTTCTAGATTGCCATTATATGCTTTTTATGACCACTGGGACAAATTTCCTTTGAAAATTTGTGACCTTGCATGTAGGGTAAATTAATACAATGTGGAAAAAAGTATTTCTACAGTATGTTTTAAAACATTGCATTTAAGATGTAATAATTTCATTCTGGTTGTAACGCATAATTTGATTGGATGAAAAATTTACATTATATTGTATAAACTGTGTTGCCTACGTAACAATGACTTCAAAAAGAATCAATCCACCTTAGGTTACATTTCAATTTGTACAATGTGAAGTCATTTTTAAGGACATTCATTATAATATTTTCTTACACTAAATGAATGAAAATTAAATTATAAGGAATGATTTTAATAGCTACCCAATTTATACGGTATAAACTGGGTGGGAAAAGTTTACACTTTTTTTAATTTACATTTGCAGATATTTTTCTTAGTTGAACCTATTGAAAAGAAAATATGTTCAATTCTGTATGAACTTATTAGGGGGTCAGAGGTCATGGTGTGACGAATCACACAGCGAGACGATATTTTGTCTACATATTTCTGTCACGGTGACACTGGTTTCAGAACTTCTAAGCCATTAAAGCAATGAAAAAGATGAAATTATTGAAACATACATGTTTTTTTTCGTTGAAGAAATGATCATTAGATCTTTCTTTGGTGTGGAGAATGTTTTTAATCAGCCTAGAATCACGCTTACCTTTTTAACCCAAAATTCCTTTGAAGGTATGTAAACTGAAGAGGATACCACCGCTTTTGACTTCATATATAAAGAACTCATACAATAATAGTAAGATTATTCTCAGTAGCGATCATTGTTTTTTCATTATGAACAGATATTTTCTGAACTGGACGGCTGAGCATCGATGTAAGTATTCAAATGCTGGAGCGAGGCGAACTCTAAAGACCAAACAGCTTCTAGGTCATTGCACGTCACAACATAGCAATACGGCGGGCAGTTCATATAATAAATGCAATTCTATTCAGAATATTTGTCTCAAATGTAAATAAAAGTAATAAACAATAATGTTAAAAAGTTTACTGGGAAATGAAGTTGGTTGGTACGTGATCAAATCTTCTGAGAAGCCCTTCGGGCTTCACAGGATTTGATTACATGACCAACCAAGTTCATTTCCCAGAGAACTTTTTAACATTGTTGTTTATTTCTTATTAATAAATAAACCGCTTTGCAGTTTATAAAGCGTTTGCCCCAACCCAGTTTGTACTCTATAAATTGGGAAGCTATGAAATTCATTCCTTAAATTAAAAATGTGTTTTCAGTGTATTATATATTTTTTTTTTTTTTTTTTTTTTTTTTTTTTTTTTTGAATTGTGTAGAAATCTTTTGTAAGGAACCATGATTTACAAACATGATAATTGTGGAGTTTTTTCTGGTATGTTATAAACCGCAGTATTAGAATGGCAATTTCGTGTGCGACTTTTGTTTATTTCTGATACGAAATCAGTGTATTTTCTACACATTTAAATGTCATAGTTGTGAGGTTTTTGACTCATAGTGCACAACCAGAAGATACTATACACAAGAATCCAAATTCTCTTATTAGTAAAACATATGAAAAATAAAATCATTACCATGTACATTGACTGTCTAATGCTGTAATTAACATGCAAAATACTTAATTTCACTATACTTGTATAGACTGCAATTGGAGAACTTTGTTAAAACTTCCTTTGCCACCTATGTGCATACATTGTGATATATTTAGATGTGTGAAAAAGTACCAAGCCCCTTCCCCCTACCCATTATTCTCTTTGTCGTCATTAGATGACATGGACTTTAAGATTGGACCTTAATTTAGTCAAGGTCATGACACACCTTTAGTACAACATCAATAACACACTGAAGTTTGCATTTAAATGTCTAGTTCTGGACATGATTTCGCAATATAATTATCCAGTAACCTTGACCTTTGAGATGTGAATCATGGCACCACTTTTTTGGTCATCAACAATGATAAGCTTAAAATCACTTATTACTTAAAATCACTCACATACGATCACTTATTTTCATGGTGTCAATGTTGTTTGAGGAAAAAATGAAGGTTCAAGGGGATTTTATTTCATGTTTTCAGAAGTGGTGTTGATTTGAAATTTTTTAAACATTTCACAGTGGACATGAATGCAAGGGTAAATATCTTCATACCATGATAACAACAAACTAAGATTAAACCCCACAAAAAATTAGTGATTTCACAGAACTCAATTTTAAAATTCAACTTAATTAAGGGCTTGAGAGCTGTAGCCTGTGCATCATTTTACTATCTCATTGACCAGTGACCTTAACCTTTGAGATATGACTGAATCAAGATGATGGCACATATTTAGGTTATGAACAACAACCTCCTTCTAGAATTTTACCCAAAAAAGACTTTTGACAGAGAACCATGCCAAAATGAATATGTCTCCTCTCATTCGAGGTTCATAAAAACATAATTCCTTAAAGTATTTAAGACTATAGACTGAATTTGCATAATAGCATTAAAATGGAAAATATGGACACACGTGGAGAGACAACTTAAAAGATTTTTTGACATTTCTTACATCATTTTTCCATTAACAAACAAATAAGGATTTTACATACAAAAGAGAAGGTTAGTAGATGAACCCTTTGGAAACCAATAGCCCTTTTCACAAAAAATCTTATGACTAAGATTGATATTTGATAACTCTAGTGTAATTTCTTTTTTCATTTTAAAGGATTTATATTCATAATAAATCCTAATGTATTAGAAATAAAAGATTTTTTTGTGACCTACTAAAATAGTTTAGGTACTTTTTGGAAAATTGGAAAATGTATGTCATAGTTGTAAGATATTTAGTGAAAAGATCCACATATATCATAACCCACTAAGTTAGTGCTTTTCAAACTTGTTGACTGGTGTGAGACATGTAGAGAAATATCAGCTCTCTCTCTCTCTCTCTCTCTATGTCAAGGGTCCCCTTGTATAGTTAAACACACTTATAATGAAGTGCCAGGGACAGATGATTTTGCCATGTAATATCCCTTAAGTTCAAAATATATTTTGAAACCACAGGGAATGAAATTCATGTTGCTGTAAGCGTTATTCATTGTAAGTGTGTTTGCTATAAGCTTGTTATACTGTATTTGTAAAATTGCTAAGAAACATTTTTGAAGTGTCTAAAAACATCTGAAAAACACTGCAAAAGCAAGGAACACAAACGAAAATACAAGGAGAAAGACCAGGAAATGAAATTGGATTATAAACCATAATTAATCATGAGTAAAGGTTATAATACAAGAGGTATGGAATGGATCATCAAAGTCAGTGCAGTTGAAGAGGCAAATGAAAGCTTGAATCAATGGATTTCATCAGATCCCCATAAAATAGGATTACCCCGAGAAGAGGCAAAGATTTGTCATCAAGAGTCGGCAAAAGTAGATGTCTACTTTGATCAATCCATGTTTCTCTTTTAATGTGATGGATTAAGACAAGTCATAGAACATTTCAAAGACTACAAATATTTCAGAGAAAATACTGTGAATTCACATTTCAGAGAAATCTAATTACACCTTATTTCACAAGCTTATCTACACTTAAGGTATGTCACTTGTCAGCCTTTTAGAAAATTTCAGTCGGAACCTCTTACTTAAAAACTATTTATTACAATTCAATCTTTATAACATATTTAAATTAAACAATGTAAACTGTTCAACATTTAATTAAAAAAACTGCTCAAAAATTCATAAAGAAGCAAGATTTATAAGGGACTATTTCTTGTGGTGGAAGGATATTTAGCAGAAAATTCTGCAAATCTACACATTCATTAAATTTAATATCTTGGTACTTTAGCCTCACATACTTTTACTCAGAGAATATTTTCCGTTATGATATGCCTGGAATATTAAATATAGGTCTCAATTTATATTTTTATAACAAAATTTACACCTTCGCTCAACAAACTTTGCCAAGAAATGAAGATATATTAAGGAAGTCGAGATAAAATTTTCACAGTTTTTTTGCAATAAAAATCGCATATTTTGACCAATATTTCAAAATTTACATCACTGACCCAAACTTTTTCTTTCATAATTTTAAACTACTCGATACTTTTGAACGACCAGCACTTAAGTCGTAAAAAGTTTGATACAAGAAAATATTCTGTTGCCTATTTAGATTTTTAATTAGGGATGTCAATGAGTACCCGGTTAACCGGGTACCCGATCGAACGTCCGAGTATCGAATACTAAAATCGCTACTCGGTTACTCGGATGTATATTATTATTTTTTCATATTTCAAAGAACAAAGCATATATTTTTTTAAATCAAAAACTTATAAAAATGCTATTTCAAAATGAATTATCCATGTTTACCTTGTAATTAGCGTCACCCACACCTGTGCATACCCGTTATAGTCTGTGGCTGTGTACTTGTTTATACAGTAATTACTGACCAACCTGGTCAGTACACAGCTGTTATCACCTCTTGTGATCCGTTATTTTTTGGATGGCTTTAATGATAAGTATTTAATGAACATCATTTAATTAGGGTTTATTATCCTAAAATAATTTAGTTCTGTCGCATACGGTAGCGAATTCGGACATACAAAGAAATGCCGCTACTTCAAAAGTGAAAAAAAATATTAGGA